GTCGCGGTCCGTCTTGATGACGTGCTTTAGGTCCCTGAGCGACTCGCAGGCCGCGGCGCACCGGGTGTCGCGGTCCGTCTTGATGACGTGCTTTAGGTCCCTGAGCGACTCGCAGGCCGCGGCGCACCGGGTGTCGCGGTACGCGTCGGGTCAGGGCGGCGGCACGCTGGGCACGCCAGCCGCTGCCGCTGCTGCTGCGGTGCACGCGCTCGACGGGAACCAGGCCTGGAGGACGCCGATGCACGGCACCAGGCGCAGCAAGGGGAACGCGCAGCCGGTGTCCCAGTGCAGGACATTCGTCCGTGATCCGGAGCCTACGGAGCCTACCACCTAGAGGGCGCAAGGAGCGCTATGGCTTGGATTTTGCAGACAGTGTCAACACCCGGCTCTTGATCGCTATGTTTTGATCTCCCATTATTGTGCAATTTCTACACATTTGTGCAATGACACGCCGCTATTTGCATCATTTTGAAGTTGGCACATTTCTGTGTTTACTATCGGTCTGATTTTGGCATGATTTTGTGTTAGAAACCAGAAGAAACGTGAAAGAACGGTCATCAAAAGGTGTGAGCACAGAGTTTGGTGTTGGAAGTTGTTGCAATTTTCTTCTCACTCCATTATGTAAGTAAGTACTAGGAAATGTAACCCTGTGATTTTCTTTTCAGTTTTCATGCAGCATCTTATAATGTTTGTTGGTAGGAAATAAAACAGATGTGAACAGTCCAATGAGAACTGTAATTCATTGGCTGTAGATTGTCAACAGTATAGAAATATATCAAATATCATAATATAAAATGAAATATAACCTGATAGCCTATAACTATGACTGATCCTTACATTACAGGGTATACATATTATAGAATATATATATATAGAAGAACAACAAAATAAATATGATTGATCCAAAGATAAACTTCCAATAGATTGAAACACATACTTATGCTATATACAAGCATAATAACATTTTATTACTACGTAAGGTTAGCCTGCTTTCTAAACCCTTTCTGAGCTTTGCGAATCTCTCTTGTTCGAAGATTCCACCTTCTAGTAACAAAGTGCAGCCTCATTATTAAATAAAATTTGAGAATTGATTTTGTCAACATTTCTGCATGGAGCTCACACCCAACTGGCAACAACTCAACTCCTTTTAAGTTGTCCAGTATGTGGAATAAAATATTTTCTTCTAATTCATTGTGTAGACTAGTACAAATTATTGTGCTCTCAACCTCTCTTAGTAGATTAAGCAGCTCATCTGAGGCATATGTTAGAAACCCTTTGCTTTTATTAGTTATCATGATGTCCAAATCTTCAGCCTGAGTCTGCTTTTTCTTTAGATGTGTTGCACACTCATCACAGCCCTTGGTGTATTTTTGTGAGTGTCGAGCCACAAAGCCAGCGACATATCTCATGGCAAATTCGTCCACACCCTCAGCCATATAATTGTGATCTTCTTGCTGCTGCATGAGTGCCCCAATATTCTCTAGGTTTTGTCCTAACATAAAGCATTCATGAACAAAGGTAGATATAAATTGTTGATTAACAATAATAATAATAATAACAATAATAATAATGATAATTTTTAAAAATAATTGTACCATTAATTATAATTTCATCCAACTTATCAGAAAGTAATTGATGTCTTTCTTGTTTGGTTTTTTCCCTGAAGTCATTCAAGTTGAGGAGAGTATTAAGCATCTCACCACCAGTGATATTACTGCCTCGCAGTGGTTTTACCAAGGAGTAAATTGACAGCAGACGGAACAATTGGGCAAATACCCTTGGCTCAGGGTGTGTGTTACCCCCACAAGATTGGCGCACCAGTCCAAAAAATCTCTGGAAACATATGAAGAACTAATTGGTAAAATGATTGCAGCACTTATTGAAAGGCAAGTACTTAGTTGTATTTTGTTCACCTCCAAAGCATCTTGGTTGAGTCTGGCAGTCATGAGGTACTCATATTTACAGTCTTCAGTGAGGAATTTTAAAATCTCTTTTGTAGCTTTGAGAGTTACTATCAAACCAATATCAGTAGACTCTGAGAAAATGTAATCTTCTTGCTCAAAGTAAGCCTCTGACTTTCCTCTCGGTCTCTTCCCTTGTTGCCTAAGCGATTCAACTCGAATGTTTTCTGCTTCTATCAATTTGGTTTTCAGTTTAGCGTTTGACCAGTTCTTCAAATCCTCAAAGTATTTGAGAAAATTGTCAATAGCCTGCCAATGACATGATATAGCTTTTGAGTTTTGAAAATTATTCACAGTAAAAATATTGTAAATTTACAACAACATTTTGCACAGTGTGGAGGGGATCAAATCGTGAGTGTGTAATATGTTACTGACCTTAACATCAGGAGAATGCAGGCGGAGGGCGTTCTCTGGCCTGTTGCTATTCATGACATCAGCTAAGTCATTAACCATTTTGCAAAACTTGGCAGATGTGGCAGAATCCTTCAGCTTTACAACATGCTCCACAGTCCTATAAGCATCCATAGCTGTCGCTACAGTTGCACTCCAAAACTTCAGAGAAATATACACAGCAGGTATGTCAAAAGTGAATAATACAGTAATACCAAAGGGTTTACTTGAAAACTACATTTTTACCTGCCATGCCATGGCAACATTCATCTTCTGCCATGGGTTAGGACTGAGGTGATCTTCTGTTAATTTGTGGCATTTCCTCAAACCCACTTGCCGGAGCTTTTCTGCCTCCAGTACCGCCTTCCAATCTTCAATGTTAATATCTCCATCTGGTGTCTGACAAATCAATATAGTATAGTGGTATAGTTCTAATTTACAACATTAAATTTTTGAGGGGTAGATAACTCCTAAATTAGGTGTAAAAATTTCATGAATTGAATTGGAATTGGCTTGAATTGAATTTGAATTGGACTGAATTGGTTGAATTGTTTTTGAATTAGTTTGAATTATTGCAATTTTATTGTATTGAATTAGTTTGAATTTTGCTATTCATGTACTTACAAGTATAATTTTTTTTGAAACCAGGCAGTTACGCATACACTTCATGAGATGTGGAAAATCTGATAGAAACCACAGTCTGCGGGCTGCATTGCATGGATGTTGTGCAGATGGACACTCTCTGGTGACACCAAATTTGGTCCACATAGACCGGTTCCATGCAGCACCATCTGTCACCACTCCATCAACATACAGGCCACTGTTTTCAAGGAGTAGGACAGCCTCCAGGACTTATCTGGTGAGTTCATCATCGGTAGCATTATTCCGGGTCAGGAAGCAGGCCACAGCCTGGACCCATGTTCCCATGAAGGGCTGAAAGGTAATCACAAGAGCATGGTCTCCCAGGTTTTTGTCTGTTCTGTTTTTATTTTTTTCTTGAGTTTTTGCTCTTCTTTTAATTTTTAATGGAGCTTTTGGATCCTCAGGTAAATTGTTCAGGGCTGCCTCAACTGCTTCTGTAAAAC